GGAAACTTGTTGATGATGCCTCAAAGTTTTTAAATGATAAGGTCACTAAAGCTGTCATTACAGTTCCAGCGTACTTTAATGATTCCCAGAGAACTGCAACAAAAGATGCCGGTCGTATTGCTGGGATAGAAGTGCTGCGCATCATCAATGAACCTACTGCTGCTTCATTAGCGTATGGATTTGAAAGGAAAAATAATGAAACTATTCTAGTTTTTGATCTAGGCGGTGGTACCTTTGACGTGTCAGGTATAAACTTAGTCTCAGTGTGTATTTCTTGAACAAGTTGTCCAGCAACCTCTAACTATAAAATAACAAACCTATATATCCTCTAAATATAAGATCTTAGGTAACTATTTACACTTCAAAGATCACTTCATCAAATCCCTCAGTCACTCTTTAGATTTTAGAGCACTAGAGCATAGCCTAGCATGTGACACCAAAAAATATTTACATTTATTTAACTTCTGCTGGAGTAATTCAACTTCTGACTGCAGTTCTGGAGGTGGGCGATGGAGTATTTGAGGTTCTTTCCACTTCGGGTGACACACATTTAGGAGGGGATGATTTTGATAAGGTAACCAGACTTGTATAAACTTTGGGTCTGTCTTTTATGTGCATGTTTTTGGTGTTGGTTCACCGACTGTGTGAATATTCCTGGATTGCCAAAACAGAGGATTGTAGATTGGCTAGCCGAAGATTTCAGGAAACAAGAAGGAATAGATCTTCTAAAAGACAAACAAGCACTGCAGCGCCTCACTGAAACTGCAGAGAAGGCAAAGATAGAGTTGTCTTCATTGACACAAACCAATATCAGGTAAAGACGTAGTGTATCTTATCACTCATTAGTATGTTTATGGTCACCTCCTCCTCTAAAGTAACATACACATCAACGAAAATGAAATTTATTTACTCTTTACAAATTCAAGAAGTGTCTTAATGTATAAAAATAATAGCATAGTTGTCATAGCTTTAAAAGTATTGTGGTTCTGTACACCCATTTAGTTTAAAGTTTAGATTTTCTAGTATTGTTGTTTAGGTTCACTCATTTGATTTAAAGATTGAAAATCTCTTACTGTTACTGCGTTTGGTTCCATTATTTTTCTGTAGAAGCATTTAATATGCTCTAGAAATTTCAAGCTGTAAGTTCACTCATCAATACAAGTAGCAATTTTTTACGGAGTAATAATTATTTTGCTGAGTTTGTGTTACAGTTTGCCATTCATAACCGCCACTACTGATGGTCCAAAGCATATTGACACCACGCTTACACGAGCCAAGTTTGAAGAATTGTGTTCAGATTTACTAGACAGGTAGTCAGTAATTTCTATTCAAATTGAGTCACTTAAAATGAAAAGCAATTTTTGAATTGTTTCAAGCTGTTGTGTGTGTTCCCTCTGTAAATGACCAAGCTTAGGGTTTTATTTTTAGATTGAAAACACCCGTTGAAACTTCTTTGAGAGATGCAAAGCTATCCTTTAATGACATCGACGAAGTCATTCTTGTTGGTGGTTCTACCCGAATTCCTGCTGTACAAGACCTTGTTCGGAAATTGACTGGTAAAGAACCTAATGTTACCGTGAATCCTGATGAAGTTGTTGCTCTCGGAGCTGCAGTACAGGTTGACATTTCCCTCCATTTTCTGATCCCTTCTCCCTTCAATTTTACTTTTTTGCTGTGTTTTGAAGGGTTAAGTAACTTTTTCTTTTGTTCCATATCCTTAAAAAGTTCAGGCAGGTGTTTTGGCGGGAGATGTAAGCAATATTGTGCTATTGGATGTGACTCCATTATCCCTGGGCCTGGAGACTCTCGGTGGTGTCATGACAAAAATCATACCACGAAACACAACTCTACCTACATCCAAGTCTGAGGTTTTCTCAACTGCTGCGGATGGCCAAACCAGTGTTGAAATCAATGTGCTTCAAGGGGAAAGAGAATTCGTCAAAGACAACAAATCCTTGGGGAGTTTCCGCCTTGATGGAATTCCACCAGCTCCGCGTGGTGTTCCACAGATTGAAGTGAAGTTTGACATTGACGCTAATGGTATCCTCTCGGTCACTGCTGTAGATAAAGGAACTGGAAAGAAACAGGACATCACCATTACTGGAGCCAGCACCTTGCCCACAGATGAGGTGAGCAACAAATAAGTCTAGTGGCTTATTTTGTTATTATCCCAAGATGAGTGGTTTATTGACTTATTTAAGTTTCTGTTCAAACATCAAAAGTTTCTTTTTGTGTTCTCTTAACAATGATCAACTCAAGTTTCCTTGAACAAAAACTGTCATCAGGTAGATAGAATGGTAAAGGAAGCAGAGAGGTTTGCGAAAGAGGATAAGGAGAGGAGGGATGCAATTGACACGAAGAACCAGGCAGAATCTCTCGTCTACCAAACGGAAAAGCAATTCAAGGAGTTGGGAGACAAGGTCCCTACGGATGTGAAAGACAAAGTGGAGTCTAAGCTGAAAGAGCTAAAGGATGCCATTTCCAGCGGATCAACCCAGACCATAAAGGATGCCATGGCGGCACTTAACCAAGAAGCTATGCAACTTGGGCAGTCTCTTTACAGCCAGCCAGGTTCAGGAGCTACGCCTATGCCTGATGATAAAACCTCAAAACCAGGCTCTTCAGGTAAAACCGATGGAGATGGGGAAGTTATTGATGCAGATTTTTCGTGAGAGCTAGTAGTTGAAAGGGTCCATCCGAAATTAGTGTATGCAGCTGTTCAGTGCTCTGATTATATCTCATATAGATGTGCTTTACCCATTCTGTAGTGAACTTTTCGCACCTCTAGAATTGGAGATCTGTGCATGTAATTAAATTTTCTATTGAGAGTTATCCATAGCTCAATGTAATGTTTTTTGTCTCTTGAGTTAATGCAAGGAGATTTCTATTGGATGAAAACAACATATTCAACGACAGTGATCAGTGAGCCTCTTTGGATTTGCCACCCCTGCACATAATTGCTCCTTGGATTCGCCATCCCATGCTCAAATTCCTCAATGCCTCATCAATCGCCCGACCGGAGGTCGCCGCCATTTCCCTGCACCTGATTCATACCCACCCTGCACGAGAGCTGTCTGCTGCCCTTACTACCCGGGCAGTTTGAATTTTCCTTCCTCATTTAGATTATTCATGCACTTTCGGATCCGGTCTTCAAAAACCCCCAACTTCCTCATTTGGACATATCACCTACTTGTAATATATGCGGGCTGGAGGACGAGGATACTATTCATGCCTTAATGCTTTGTGCTAAGGCATACTACACATTTTATCCGCAGTCGAGAGACATCCCGCCATTGTTCACCAAAAAAATAATTTTATTATCCGTAGCATATTGTGCAACCTTAAAAGATTTCACATACTAGTCGAGCCCGTCCTTTTCCCCGTTTCCAGATGTTCCTCAAAGCAATTTAAAACAACTTTTTATAGAAAAACGACCATTCTGTTCCCCACACATCCGCCATGTAATAGATACTAATTTAAGTACTTCGAATAGTTTCAATCTCGATTATAAAACATTTACGGTGTTACAACTTTTTATAAAGTGTATTAATTTGATCTTTTTCAATTGCAACATATCATCAGACGCTGCGATCGTCTCTCGCTTCTCTCTAGGGCTTCGGCCGCTTGGAGTCTTTTTCCGTCTTCGATTTTAATCGAAGGACGACCGCTTTTTCCGTCTTCAATTTTAATCGAAGGACGGCTGTTGTTGTTTGTGCTGTCATGGCTCGAGGTGATCGGCGTTGTGGTCAAGGTTCGAGGATGATGCGTTGTTGTCGTCGTTGGAGAAGATCGGCGCCGCCTATCCGTTTAATCTGGTTGCATGGGGTAGGGATGAGTTTAGTTATGCAGGGACGGATGATTGATGCATGGCCTTTGGCAGCCAAAGGTCACGGAGTATCAATTAGCATGGTACCGGTGGTAAGACATCCTCCTGAACCACCACCATGGGATGTACGAGGTGCTAGAGTTCGTGAACGCTTTTCTTATAGTTTTTATCTGTTTGTTATTTGTTTTCTTGTGTCCACTTTTGTTGTTGGTTTTGACAGTTTGTTTGAGTTTTTTGTCTCTCTTTATGTCATTGGGTATGATTGGATCTATGAGAATAAGTTTGACTGTGTCAAGCCCATTACATGGTTAGCGATTCGTGTTGCTCTCTCAAGGGTGACCGTCTCAAAGTCTCACTATAGGGTCGTAGTTGTTGAAGTTTCAGTTGGTGTCAGTTTTATTTTCCTTTTACTTGATGTAACTATTGATATGAATAGAGGCCCGTTTGATGATAAAAAAAAACTTTTTATAAAGTGTTGTCACATTCATATCTTGAATATGTTTACTCTTTTGGTACCTTTTTGTGCTTATTTTAAGATGTTGCACATTTCAAACGTATTACGATGTTTTTATTTGGACTGTAATTTGCTGGTCTGGTCTGATCTGATCTGGTCGGGTCTGAACTGGTCTGGTCTGGTAAGGTCTGGTTTCTTTGTATTTTTATAACTATCCAAGTCTGGTCTGGTCTGATCTGGTCTGGTTTGGACTAGTCTGATCTGATCTGTTCTGGGACAAATTATAGTCCAAGTAAAAACATCCTTATACTACATTGAATTCGCGTATTGAAATTAATTGGAATTTATGAAAGACACAATTTAAGACTTTTTTATAAACGAAAAAATAATAAAAAGAAAGCGAATTAGAAGAGAAGTCATGTTTTACAATAAAATTACAAAAATGTCACCGGCTGAACTGGTTGTATAGTATAACACCTCCTTATACACATAGCCTCAAGCTTGTTCATGAAAACAAGAATAAAGAAAATTGCAACAAATTGATTTGTTCCTCCAAATGCAAAAAATATTAAAAATAAGGTGAAATTTTCAATATTGAAGTAGGATCATATGAGATGAAATTCAAGTCATATCATACGGCGAGATGAGTCTCCGACCAGTACCGGCCGGGTGAAAGTTATGATGGAGTTTAATTACGTTTCCAACTCAGCGAAAAAGGCAGGCTGCGATTTTTTTAGGTTTAAAAAAAGAAAGAAAAACAAATAGAGCAGCCAATGAGCAACCGCCAGAACCTTCCTTTTCCCCAACCTTAACCCTGTGATGCCCGCTCCTCCTCCACACATAGAGAAGACGAAATTGGGTTCTCATCAGGTATTTCATCTTCTTCTTCATCTTAAGTATTTCAAAAAGCGTTTTCTTGAAATTTTCTCCATATTCGATGCCACGTTTTCGCCATATTTGCGTATTAGTTAAGCTTTGATCATATATTCATATGTATGTGTTATTAGTGTATATACTTATAGTCTGGGCGTGTTTGTCTCTGAAAAAACTGGCCCCTGAGAATATGACGATGGTGGGTTTGTACGGACAATGTTGCTTGCTTATCTGTAACTGTAAGGGAAGGGATTGGACGAATTTACTAAAAATATCATTTCTTGTTGGTATCATTATTGTCCTGTATATAGCAAATCTATTACTAAAATTTTTAAGGAGACTCATATAGGGAGACATATTTGGTATCATGTCATAAGACTCATAACAATAGCCACTCATTATGACTCCATGAGGGAGTCAATCTATTAGACTATTACTATTCAATATGAGGGACTCATTATGAGTCTCAATAAAACTACTCAATCTATTACTACTTATTATATGGTCCTTCTGAGAACGAAAAGGGAGAAACTGCCTTCTTTGGTGCATTTATTTACACTACTCGTACTCCTACACCCCATTTTAATGTTTTGTGTTTGACTTGGACAAACCATTTAAGAAATGATAATTGTGTGGTTCTAATTGATGTAGGAAAACATGGAAGTATAAAAGCCTGATTTTTCTAAGCGACGATGTAGAATTTGTTGTAAGAGTTGGTCTCAAATGGACTGAATAACTCTATTTTATAGAGACTCTTATTTGGGTAACTTTCTGGAGTTAACAACAACAAGAGGGAGCAACTGTGTAAATGGAAAAGAGGCCACATAAAAAGGCTAAACAGATTGAATCTATGGATGAAAAGGAAAGAGATGTGCTGCTTTGTGGTTTAGAGATAGAAGGCTCATCAAATCACAAAACATGGATTCCCTTTGACCTTCTCTTCAAAATATTTCTTCTACTCCCGGCCGATACACTGTGCAGGGTAAGCTTTGTCTGCAAAACGCTGTTTAACATGATCACAAGTCCAAACTTCATTGAAGCTCACCTTCGTCGCTCTGAGACTGTTCTTCTCACTTTAATCTCAAATTACGAGAACCACAACAAATCTTTGCCTTTTGCACCACAACCCCATTCCCAAAGTATTGTACACTTTTTCCAACTCTGGGAATTGCATAGCGGGGAAAGTAGCAAAATTCCTGTTCAGAACTTGGCCAGAATAGACTCAGTTTTAGCATCCTGCGATGGACTAGTATTGGCCAAATTGAAAACGACAAGAGGACTAGTAGTAGTCAACCCAAGCAGTAGGAAGCACTTACGATTTCCCCTGGGAACGGCCGGTTTCAGCCCAGAGTCATTTGGGTTAATGCGTCGGGGACATATGGGTGAGTATAAAGTGGTACACTTATTTCGCGACAAATACCTCCACGCCAGATGTGAGATTCTAAGCCTACCTACAAGGTCATGGCATGCGGTAGATGGACCACCTCTAACCGTCCAACAACACATCATTCTTCACCCGCCTGTTTCAGCTACTGGAGCAATGTATTGGCTACCCGGAAGAGCTTACTGCACTCATATCGTCTCTCTGGGATATGATGACGAAAGGTTCCTCATCATACCGTTGCCAATCATCAGCACCAAGAATGACCGTTTAGTTGAGGTGGGTGGTGGGTTATTGAGCTTTGTCACTCATGCTACGATGCACTTGATTCAGGTATGGATTTTGAGGAGGAGGGATGGTGGTGACGTAGAGGGCTACTGGATAAAACGTTATAGTATAAACAGGAACTATGATGTTACGGGAATGGTTCCGATTTGCACTTCGGGCCGTGAGATGGTCTTCAGCAGACAGAGGAAAAACTTGTTGCATGTTTGTGATCTGGAAAGTGATGAGATGAAGGAGATCACTCTTCACACCGAGAAGATGAATGGGGCTGCTGATGAGCAAGATGAGATTGCTGATGAGCAAGATGAGATTGCTGATGAGCAAGATGAGATTGACGGCATTAACCCTGAAGTGGATAGTGTCAGCGAATTTACGTCTTACATTCCTCATGTCAACTCCCTTGTATCGCTCTGTACTCGATATCATCATCATCAGTAGGAGACATGTTATTGTGTTACTTATGAATCCTCTTCTATGGCTGCGGTAATTTAGAATGCTTAGGGCACTAGTGTTCCAAAAGAGCTTTTTGCCTACTTGCATTCTATTTTGATGCTAAAACAGTTGATTAAATAACTTTCAATTAAAAACAGAAAAAAGGATAAGTGGCATCTGTATGTATAATAACTACGTAGTATTATGTAATGCAACAATTTCATAATGCATTGTGGTGACTACCTTCGTCTGGTTTGCTAACCATTACACATGGACACAGTTTTGGACCAGAGCCACCTGGTCCAGAATCGGATCAGAACTTGCGCGTGTCCACCCAAACTTATCATAGTTGATTCCTTTTGTAGTTTGTTGTAAGCCGTGCAATCTGAGTTCATTTCAGATATGCTAATTGTGCACAAGTTACACCATCCTTGCGAATTCCCATGGTGGTAAATGCTCATTCAGCCATTCATGAGAGTGGTCAATGAGTAATTAACAGGGAGTATTTGCACCTATGGTATATTTCTGCAGTTCTGCACCTTTCTTTACCTCCCCATGGATGATTGTCATAGTATATTAATAAAATAAACCATTTGGTTTCCTACAAATACTATCACTTCTTAAGCTCAATGTAGCAATAATCAATGAAAGGTGTCATAAGTTGCACAGATTGACATGTTATTGCCTACAGGCACACTGAATCAGCAGGAATGGCACTGTATACATGGTAACGGATAAAATAAAAAAAGGTTTTAATGTGTAAAAAGGTTTTAAGGTGCACTTTTCTGTTTAGCACACTTTTTCACGTTCATAAAAAATGGACATTTTAAAAAACACGTGGTGGCAATTTTATAAAGAGAATATTACCCGAAATAGAACTAAAAAGATTTGAAAATTCCAAAATAGGTTTGTCATATTTTTATTCCCAAAATAGGGCTGGACTCGGTTCGGGCCGGGCCCGGTTCGGGCCTTGAACCGGCCGGGCCTCGGTTCACCAAAAGGAGGGCCCGGGCCCGAACCGGCCGGTGACCGGTTCCGGGCCTTTTCACCCGCCCCATTTTTTTTTGGCTTCTCTTATTTAACCCCCTACCCCTCCCCCTCAACCCCAAACCACCCCAAACCACCTCAAATGGCCCAAAATACCTAATCCAACCCAAAAATTAAAAAAAATTAAAAAAAATAAAAAAAAAAATTTATTCCGGCCCGGACCGGGCCCGAACCGGCCGGGCCGGTTCACCAAATGGAGGGCCCGGGCCCGGAACCGGTATCCACCGGGCTGGTTCGACCCGAACCGCCGGTGGACCGGGCCACCGGGCCGGGCCGGGCCGGTTCACATAGTAACCGGGCCGGGCCGGTTCCGGTTCGGGCCGCCCGGCCCGAGTCCAGCACTATCCCAAAATAGGACTAATTACTGCCATGTTTTGGCAATACCAGGCTTCAAACATGATAGTATTTTCCGAACTTGGCAGTAATTACTCCTATTTTGGTAAAATAAACATCATAGTCCTATTTTGAAATTTTCATACTATTTTAGTCCTATTTCGGGAACTTTCCCTTTTATAAATAAACGAACTTTTCTACAAACATGAAAAAATGCACTACTTGAACAGAAAAATGCACTGTAGCACTACAAAAGTAAATATTTTGAATTTTACATGTTAAGAACATTTTTTATTTGATTCATCCTCTCTCTATATATATGTGTATATATATACATATATATGTATATATATGTGTGTGTGTGTGTGTGTATGGGTGAGATCACATACAAACTAGTCCTCGCGTGCTAACTTACAAACTCTTACAAACTATGCATATTTACATTATTTGTACTGCATATTGAAGTTCAAAGTGTTGCATGTTATTTGTATTGCATATTGAAGTTCACAGTATTGCATATTATTTGTATTACATATTGAAGTTCACAATGTGCATCTTTACATTATTTGTATTGCATACTGAAGTTCAAAGTGCTGTATATTATTGAGTTTGTAGGTTAGTATTTTAAGCATGGTTTGTATTTGATCTCTTATATATATATGGCCGAACATGGCCATTTGGGGCACTTCCCGGTGGAATTTTTTGATGAAATTTTTTGAGCATGTTCCTCATCAAGTGTAGTTTGTTCATACCAAATTTCAGCTCAAAATTCAATCGGGAAGACATTCAAATCATTTTTGAAGTTGACTGCGTTATTATATGTACATTTTGACGCAGTCAACTTCAAAAAAAAATTTGAATGCCTTACCAAACGAATTTTGAGCTGAAATTTGGTATGGACAAACTAGACTTGATGAGGAACAAGCTAAAAAAAATTCATCAAACAATTCCACCGGGAAGTTCCCCAAATGGCCATGTTTGGACACTGTTCGGACCAGGGGCTGCTGGACAGGATCATTTCTCTCTCTCTCTCTCTCTCTCTCTCTCTCTCTATATATATATATATATATATATATATATATATATATATATATATTGGATCAAATAAAAAATGAACTTTCCGTGTGCAAAAGTGTACCATGGATGATCAATAGTGGATGACGAAAATCATTGAAGTGCAATAGTGAACTTAAGATGATAAAATATGGAGACATTCGCATTTCTCATAAAAAGACCACTTTTATTGGAGCCAAATTCTATCGATATATTTGATCGCAACCCAAAGGTGTGATCGCCAACCCAGTCGTCTTCACACTCTGACCCAACAGAAGGTATGTGAGTAAATAACGGTATGATTTCAAACAATTTCTTAGTGAGTGATTCAAGAGTCATGATCTAATGTGTACTAGGGTCTAGGGATGGACTGGGACAGGTCAGCCTGGCCCGGTACTATTTAGGCCCGGCCAGGCCCGCTAATGTATAGGCCCGATCACGGTCCGGTGGCTATAAGGGCGGGCTTTGGGCTCGTTTTTTGAGCCCGACTCGCCCGGTCCCGGGTCTGATTAGTATTGGACCCGGTTCGGGCCGCCCGACCCGTTACTGCGCGAGCCCGGCAAACTGGTTTTGGTTCCGGGCCTAGGCCCGGTCCCGGGGGTTAGGGCGGTCCCTATTCAGCCCAGTCTTTGAAATCGGCCCGACCGGTTCCGGGCCCGGTTTGGGTCTTCTTAATTTTTTTTTTGGTTTGTTCATTTTTGGGCATTTTCTTGAGTTTGGCTAGGTGTTTTGGGGGTTGGGGGGGGGGGGGGTTGGGGGTGGGGGTCGGGGGTTAATTAGAAAAGGAAAAAAAAAAACTGGACCCGGTGGTGACCCGGGCCAGTCCCGGGCCTTCACCCCAAACAGCAAAAGCCGGCCCGGGCCTAGGCCCGACCCGGCCCGAGTCCAAGACTAGGCCTGATTGCACTACTTTTTTAATTTATTGCCCAATCCCGGTTAAGCCTGGTACAAACCCGGACCGGTACTGGGCCTGAAAGTTTTAGGTCCGAGCCCACTCAATCCCGGCCCGGTACCGGGCCTGAAAGTTTTAGGTCCGAGCCCACTCAATCCCGGCCCGAAGCCCGGCCCAAACCTGTCCCAATCCATCCCTAATGTATACAAACTATACATGGAATAATGATCACACATTAGATGAAACTCTCACAACTCTCATAGCGCCGCTCTTAGAGTTGAATTTGAGATCTCTAAGGCTATGTTTGGCACACAAAAGGCTCTAGCTTCTAGCTTCTTTATTCTTTAAAAAGACCTTAAAAGACGCTAGTTGTATGTTTGGCATGACATTTTTTAAGAGCTTTTCAAAAATTAAAAGATCTTTTTTGAGATGCTACCGGGTGTAGCATCTGAGAAAAGCTCGTGACTTTTAGTATTAATTAGTCCTAACAACTTGTATACCAAACCGAACTAAATCAAATAGTCAGCTTTTTACCAAACAGCTATCACCTTTTCTTTTTAAGATCTTTTTAGTCATTAAAAGCTGACAGTTACTAAAAAACTCGTAAAAGTATCTTTTTAGCTAGGTGTGCCAAACATACCCTAACTCTCGGAGTCAGTCCTCATTGAACAACCTCTACGGGTGATCCAATGGACAATTGACAATTCATACGTTCCCCTTCATATCTTCAAGACTTCAACTAACCCCATTCAATGACACAAGATTATTATGTTTCAAAACAAAAATTAGGGCACCAAATATCTCCAAACTAACCATACAAACTGCTTCAACTGCTATTCCGATTCAAGATAATAAATTTTACGAACATAAATAATAAAGAAAGCTAGAAAGCTAGGAACGAATGAATCCAAAAAAGATCAATTAATATTTTGCATAAGATCAATTGATAACATATACTTACTGTCTCTATTACATCCAACCATGCGCCAAATATCTACAAAAAGTCTTTAGGTTTTTGTTACACTTACAAATCTAATCAATCAATGACCTTCGCAACTACCGCAATCTTCGTGAGCATGATTATGGGGATGATCATTCGAATGGCCCTTCTTTTCATCCTCGTCGTCGCTGTAATCTTCGTCGAAGGGCTTGTCTTTGTGGAAAATGCAGCATTTCTTAGAGCTTTTCCTGTTGAGGAACTCGTTGTCCACCGTGCCTTCCTTCCATGAAACCATCTTCTTCTTGGGCTTCAATTTGAGGACTAGGGTTTCGTTCCAAGGCCGATGGGACGACGAGGAATCGACCGGCTGAGAAGCCGCGTCGTCTATGGTGATAGTTAAGGTTCTTGTGCCGGTGGCGGACGGTTGGAATTGTCGCATCGCTGTCGCCATTTTCTGTCTGTACCTCCTGTCTCTTTGCCGCTCAGAGCAAAACTTTGTGGAATCGTCAATGGCGTATAGAAAAGTCTTGTTGGACATATACCCCGTTCTGTTTTGTGATATTTGTCTATTTCATTTTGTGTGTACCGAAATGTTTGTCATTTACCATCAATAATGCTTATTTAAAGTCATCATGCACATTTTACAAGTTCAATGCAAAAAATTAGGGTGAAATGTTTAAATGGTATTTTAAATTTTTAACCGTTGATATTATTGTGTTTGGTATCTTAACTGTTCAATGAATCAAATCAATTTCATAACTATACACAAATATTTCAATTGATAATATTGTTCAAATCTCATGTCTAAAAGTCATACATGAGGGCCTAAATTCTATGTGTAAAGTCCATCCCACCTTACTTATATCCATGTCATCATTATACGGTGGATTTCACATATGAAATTTTGATCGTCATGTAGGATTTTTCGGCTGCAAATTTGAATAGAACTCTCAATTGAAACATTTATTTATTGTTATGGTACTAATTCGATTCATTTAAGAGTTGAAGTACTAAGACGCAACTATATTAATAGTTAAGATACCATTTATGCATTTCACCCGCAAAAATTACTCAATTAAGGGGACAAGTTGCAACAATTTGGATAATGAACTTTTGTCTATTTGGATTTAGGTTCAAATGTATTTTTAATCCCATCAAAATACACCCTCCGTCCCGCTAAGATTGTCTCATTTCCCCTTTTTGGGAAATTTCACTAGGATTGTCCCATATCAAATTTGGTAAAGTTTGTGTGGTTCTAAATCATTTTTACTTTATTCTTAATTTATCAATTTAATATCAACCACGCAAACTCATTTTTCTTAATAACCGTACCACTATCTCATGTTTCAATATTAGTGGGATGAAGGTAGTAACCATTATGTACTACGTAATTTTTATTATCTTGAAGCTATATTTATTTAGCATGTTTTTATTTGGACTTATTAGTATTTTTATTTAGAATGTTTTACCCACTGCTACAGTTATACACTATAGTGATAGGGACACAGTAACATATCACCGCCGACCACAATGACATTGACCATAGCCGACACTGCCCAGAGAGACCCAACTACCAATTATCACACCCAGCCCCGGTCACCACCGCCTCGAGATCAGGAAATTGATGGACGTGTTCGATGGAAACCGTCAGCGTGGGTAGGGCGACGACAATAGAAGGAGATTGTGAGGCAATGACGAGTTCAAGTCGCGCGAAGGAGGACGGCGAGGCAACGACATCGCACCAAAAGTGAAATCGATGGAATTGTTTCATCGCGCGATGGAGGAGGTTGATGAGGGTCCTTCGCAACGACTCAGGCGGTCGGATCCCCCTTCCCAGCGGCGCAGATGGCCAACAATACAGGTGGTCGGATCCCCCCTTACCAGCGATGCAGATGGCCAGCGACTACAGTACTGGCGACGACGATTGTATGTGGAGGCGGGAGAGAAGTGTAGCTCTCAAATGCAGAGACGATGATGATGTAGAGAGAGGATGAGGAATGTTAGGGATTTGGTGTTCCAATTTTTAGGGGAATTTGTGTCTCTTTATTATTATTGGTCTCTTTTTTGCACTAGTTCAAAATCAGACATATTTTTGTCTTTTAAAAGTGTATAGGTAATATTTATACTAATTCAAAATCAGTCATATTTTTGTATTTTAAAAGTGTATATGTAATATTTATGCATTCTTTCAAATAAAAATTGATGGACGTATAACTAAGCCCAAAACTAGAGGCCTAAAATACGTAGTATGTTTTAAGTCCTAATGCTTAATTAGTTACCTAGAAAAATGGTGATAAAAAACAAGACATTTGTATACGTTTGATTGTGTTTCTATATACATATCAAGTCACAAACAATCACTATGGGTGAAATTAGGTCCCAAGACAAATCGTACGTATTTGGTGGGAAGTATTTTGCCATCCCATGACAAATTATGCCTTCTCCAGACTCCATCGCCTCTTCTGCTGCAATTCTTATTCAGTTAATCTCAATATTTCATCGTCCATCTCTCCCAGTCCATCAACTGTGTACTTTTTGGTAGGAACGGCAAGAACTATTTCAATATGATAACTCGAGAATCAAGAGGCACTTGGTTAGGTACAGAGCACGTCACAAGAAGGTTTGATATGCACTTTTAAAGACTTTACGTAATTATATTATTTTCACAAAATATGTTTAATAATCATCTTCTAGCTTTGTACGTAGTATATGACTATATGAGCTCCAAATTAGAGGCTTTACATACGTAACCACCATCTTCTAGGTTATATGTTTGATTAAAGATTTGAATTTTGTTGATTTTCAATTTTCCTACTTTTTTATATTTATATTCATGTATATGTAATCAGCACTTTCGATGTCCCAGACTCCCAAGGGTCTGTTTAGATGAAGCAACAGTTATTTTCTAAGATCTATGTTAGATTAAGATCTATGATGAATTAATTTATTTTCTCCACTGATAAGCAAATAGTTATTCTGGCATTTCCAAGTTCTATGCCTAATAAAACCCCACCATAAATATATAAAATTGGTGGCAAAGCATTCCCGGAAAGATTGCCTCATGAAGAATATGAGACTTTATTCCAGAAGTTTTTTAGACTTAGGCAAATAGTTGATTGCTCTAATAATCAGATATGATAAATTTTATTCTAGGAATCTTTTTTAGGGGATTTATTCGTTCGTCCTCTTCTTCCTAGCATATTCTTCTAAGTTCTAACTATATTGATGTAGACATTACTTTGGAGTTTTTATTTTTTAGAGCATCCATTCTGATTTATTAGATTCTGACAGGGGTAGAAGTACTTTGGTTGTAAGTAAACCTGATTAGCTAGCTTTTTTTCTTCTTTTTTTAACTTATAAACCTGTTTACATCATAATCTCATATTGATGCTGTTCCCACACAAGCTTTCTTACTCGGTATAGCAATTTCAGGTATTCGGCCATGAGCTCTCTTGATGAAGTCCATGTACTTTACCAGATTTTGGCAGCATGTGATGTCCAAGTATTGCAGCTTCTTCATACACAGTATGTTTAACAGGTCTGTCCACAATTCTATATATCCAATTGAGGAGTGTTTCTACATGAAAACACTTGAAGAACGAATATGACCACTTTGTTAATTTGGTAACTTTAAAAGTCAACATGGTCACTTGATTTAAACAAATTAGAGTTTTGTTTGTTTAATTTAACAGTTACGTATCTCTAGGAGAAGTTGGTAACTTGGTATACATATGGTTGAACGTTTTAAGATTGGCTTGGCAAATATAAATGTCTTACCGTCATTCTTAATTCATTGCTGATAATCCAAAACAATATAGATTGTTTTGCTGATAATCCAAAACAATTGCAAGTTAATTTTTTGTCAATGGCCAATTAGCTCATATACATCGTAATATTATTGCTTCCTCAATTTTTACGAATCCTGAATTAATATTATATTCCTTTCAGTTGAGCTGAGAAGCTATACAATCAATGTGGTTGTATGCAGCTACACCTATATTATATGGTATATGTAGTCTCGATATTTTTGCATATGACATGTTTGATAAAATGCTTAGGTGAAGAAAACAATCTGGAAACATTATGTGTGTTAAGGAATTCCTTTTTTGTTTTTTCTGTTCTCATTTGTTTTTACTATGATTGCTTGCTTGATTAGGTTGAGCCATTGAGTTTTCTATTACTCTTTCCTCATTCTATGGTTCCAATGTCCATTTTTATTAATAATATTCTGTGTATTTTCAATTTATTAAGCAAACTTTCCTTTCCAAGATTTTTTACATGTTATTTTATTCACTTTTCAATTTATTAAACAACCCTTCCATGAATTTCCAAATTTGTAAGCAAACTTTCAGTTTCCTTTTTCTAAATAGGATTTTGTAGATGAACTATTAAAACAGTGCTTCTCTTATTATTTATTTTACAAACAAGGACAATAATGATATATCACACTTGGAAACCATTGTCCTTAAAACTCCCTTGCCAGCATGAGGTCTCTTCAATTACACTCTCCTCAAGCCAATCAGACATCACCTATTTAAGAGTTGGCTACAATAGTCTATTTGTTTGGACAAACTGCACACTTTCACAAAGAATGTACAAAGGGTACGTGCCCCAGGAATGTCAAGAATAGTTTTTTTTTTTTTGAGTTTTGCTTCACTGTTGTCTTTTTAGATTACTAACATGTTACTCATCTCAACCAAACCAAAGTGTATGTTATGTGTTTGCAGAATTTCTAATACACGTTGGCACATAGAATCCCTTAGTGGCTATGATAAAATAACTGCATTTGTAAGCTATTTTCCCTTAGAAGCTTGAATCACCAGCTTACCAATGGAGTATATATTTGTTATTTATTTTGCATAATATGTGTTAGCTTATTCTTTAGCATCAAGAATTAATATTTGTTTGCAGGCCAGCCAATCTTAGTTTATGGTCAACAAGGGAGACCCTAGGTGATATCGCAAGTGTGTAAATTTTGGAGATGATATTGCAAGAGTGTAACTTTTGGAGATATTATGGAAAAGGTTGATTTCTTAACTTTTGGCTTAGTTATTTAATAACATACATTTGAATGTGATATTTCATAATCAACTTGGGGCAAACAGATCTAATGGAACATGTTTTAAAAGTATGGTATGTGAAAAAGTATTCCAATATTCAAAAATTTCTTTGTTGTTTTTATTGATTTCTTCGTCTTTACATATTGACTAAAGGACTAAAGGTGTATTATTTGATGATATGTCAACCTGGCAGTATTAATCACCCTTTTTCAATCTTCACTTAGATTGTATTTAGGAACTTTTCAGTTTAGTATTGTAAACATACTTTGACTGCTCCGTATAATATATAACCTTAGGTATTCAAAAACACTATCTGCTTCTATTATAATAGAATCAAATCTGCTTATTGTTTTTTTTCTTCTGCTTATTGGTTAAATTCATTTTACAATCTGAGCAAAGATATAAAAAATCACAAAAAAACTAAATGTGTAATATCACGATCAAAAGTTATATGTTAGAAATAGATTGATTCATTTGGCTGAAAATTTCAGGACATAAAACATGCAAGGAAATAATCAGAAGTAACTA